TAACTTTCCTATTATCTGGCCTAGCTGAACTACCAGCCCAACTACTAACTGCCCTATTCATGCGTCTTATTACCAGGCGTAAATTATTTTTCATATTAATGGCGTTAACTGGGACATCGAGTTTAGCGGTAATACCCTCCCGGAGCGAGTGGTTTAATGTAGTATGCGCACTTATAAGCAAGTTTGGTGTGACCAGTGCCTGGAATGTCATGGCTATTATGGGACACGAGCTCTACCCTACTGTACTCAGGCATAGGGGAATGGGAGCCGCTTATGTCGTCGGAAGGATAGGCGCTATTTGTGGACCATTTATGAAAAATTTGGTAATATTATGAAATATTATCATGTAGTATTTTAATCAGATTAATTTAGATTAAAACTGTAAATTAATTTTTATAATTATTTTATAGACTACAGCCTATGGCCTGGTTGTTGTACTTGTAATGTATGCCAGCTTATCGTTTATCGCAGCCATACTGGCGTTATTTATGCCCGAAACCAAGGGTCAAGAAATACCTGATACTATTGAGGAGGCTGAGCATGGTCATTTAAAGCGAATTAAAGTCCAATTTAACTAAATTAATGGTTAATGCGAAATATAGTAATCCTAGGTTTTATTATTTAAAATTTTTTACAAAATAAAAGTTGACTTCATTAAATTATCATTTGTTTTTATTTATTGTGCATAGAATTTATATTACTTTTTGAAATCAACCGCATGTAGAATTTTATAAAATTATTTAATGAAAATGTACAATATAAAAATGTTTAATTTTATATTAACGACATATTATGATAATAACTAAATTATTATTACTTGATTTAAATACAATTTAATGAATTTTATAGCCAATTTAATAAATAATATTCATAGATACAACAATGTTAATAATTTTTATCATAATTTAGTATTTAAATATTGCATGGAAACATATTGCAAATAATTATTTTGTAGCAAAGTGACCATTGTAAAATTGATCTAAAAATACAAATAATAATATAAAATAATTGTATTCATTTAATTGGTATATTTAAAATGTTGACAAACATTATAATAAATTAATACATATGCTTAAGTAATTATTGATTATTTACTTTGTGACACAGTATTTTATGATGGCGGAATACAATGGTCATTTTGGCAAGTAAAGTTATAAGGGCAAGGTAGTGTGCATTCCTCAGCTACCACCTTTAGCATCAGTAATATGACCACAAAAACCACCATAGTTTCACGCAGTATATTCATTATCTAGGTATTTATTACGAATTTATTAGTAAATTAAAATAAATATATTACAATAATTAAAACAAAGTAATTAACTATTTTTACATACAATTGCAATATTATTTTAAAATTAAGTTTATATAGTTGCTAATGTAATTTGTTTGAATCAGTATATAATTTATGTTATGTCATGATTATTTGTTGTTTATTCATGGAAATCTTAAAAGATATTTACATACCTTTAAGGCTTGTAAGGTTTATTAGTTAAACAACTATATTTATATTAATATTATAAAAATTACCTGTAATATATAAAGCCTAAGGATACTGTCATAAAAGCATTATGAGTTTCCTAAGCTGGCATTTTTCATTTGTTGATTGGAAATGAAAGCCCATTCAATGCTGAGTCTGACTATGTAATTTATATTGTCCTGTGACCTCGGGTTCGG